ATGGAACCACGTTATCTGTCCCATCCCCCCTCCCCAGCCCCAGAGCTCCCAGAGAAGCCAGGAATTTGGGGACATGACAAGTGTAGGTGTGGCCCAACACCAAAATCCCAGATATGGAGCCCTGTTGGAGACGCATATCAGTGGTTAAGGGTAAGTGACAGCTGCGTTGACTCTAATGGCCACCACCACTTGTTCTGCCACTGTTTCAGTATCAAGCCCACAAGGAGCCTTGTGGTCCAGATTCAGTCCACAAGGAGAAGCGAGTTTTACCCTCCTAATCCAAACCAATGTTCCAAGCTATTTCCATTTCATTGGGTGCATCTACACATGATATCAATGTGATGCAATAAACCCTGGCACAGTTCGTGCCTGAGTTTATTGTTCCCAGGTCCAGTATTTGGGCAATGCAGCCCCAGCTGTCAGGAGATTTAGGGGGTCAGCCTGCCAGCCTGGAGCTGTTCCTTCCCAGCTCAGTGTGCTGCAGATGGGCTCGCCTGGGCATGAGGGTGCTACCATGCTGGGGTAGCCATAAAATAGTACTTGTGTTGGTTAGTACTATCCTATGGCAGAGTTAATTAGTTTTCTCTGGTTTAATAGCACTGCTCATGTAGACAGTGGAAGCATCTACACAAGAAGCTTCTGCGCAGTGGTTACTGCACATTTATTTAGTACTTGTATTAGCAACTTACTGAGCAATAGCACTGGCAAATGTCTTTTAAGTGACGCTACCGCGCAATAGCCTAATACTACTGCACAGTAGTGTATTAGCACTGTTAGTGCTGTGACATGCTGCTGCGCAGTAATATTAGGTTACTGTGCAGTCAGCATCTTTAATAGACACACCCAGTGAGGCTTTACTGTAGAGCTAATTAGGCAACTCCACAAGAAGCATCTTGTGTAGATGCACCCATTAAAATTTAATGACCAACTGCAGTCTTTAGCTCAGAACTGAAGAATCTGGACTTTCCAGCCCATGGTGGCTATACACAGACAAAGGCACTCAGTGATACAATTTCAGAATATCAACCAGAGCTCATTAGTTGTATAGACAGATTCCCTAGACTGTCACAGTACAATTTAGGAAAGCAAATGCATAAAAGACAATAGTTTTCTAAGAAATAAATGGGCTGTTTTTTCCCTATCTCTAAATATGAAACACAGTTATTATTTTAATGGGGTTCTCTACCAACTCTTTCAAATCCTGTTCTGAATCACACCACCACTGTTTTCACAACAATATTTCTTTTAAGTGAAGGAATGCAGAGCAATTTTGTTTTCTCTACTGCTCCTCATATGTGTCATAGGATTTCATGGTTGCTGGAATGAAACAAGCAATTTATTCACTGAGGGTAGCATTGCTATCAATCTCTAAAGGAGACTCAGTTTGGAGAACTGAATTATAATGTTTTTCTCATTGTACCCCCATCAGGCACTATGGAATGAACAGGATGTATTGTTTTGCACTGGCATACAGAGGTGAAGACAAATTATTTTATAGTTATGGCAAACTGGCTTTGTGTTTTCAATAACAAACTCACCTAATTAGACATTTAAACCCTAATTTGTAAATCCCTTGTGTTTTAATACATCATTTTTATCTTAATTATAATCCTGTACTTCAACAGTTTTCCAAATTATTTATGAAAAGAGACTAAATTAATTTATTTTGTTAAAATAAATAAACAAGACTTTACTAACAGATAGAATGCATGCAGCAGCACAGGCAGAGGATATGAGTATTTGACAAAGGCTTCAAACCTTTACAAACATGGACTAGTAGTTTATTTGGCAATGGGAGTATTTTGGAATGAAGTACTAGAACAGAGGCATGTAAGTAACAGCAAGGTAAGCTAAGGATGAAGTTACACGTTACACTTAGACCACACTAAGGACATTTAAACTCCAAGAGTCCTCCTGTTAAAGTTTGCTAACTAATGCTGAGTGTCTCAAAGTTACACCACTTCAGGCAAGGGTTAATTTTGGGTGGTGATACCCATCTCATGTTAGTGTAATTTCAGTCTGCCCCACATCTCTGTGCAAGCAATGTGCAGTCCTCCACCATCCCACAATGCATCACTCCCAGCCCCCTTCCCTAGCCATGCCCCTGCTCGCCAGCCCTCTAGTGGCAAGTCAGAGTTGTGCAGGCAAGAAATGGTATTAACGCTAAATGTGCAACTTCTCACAGCACATTCTAATTTTAACACCATCTAACATCCCACACATTGAATATGGTCTAAGTGTAACATGTAACTTTGCCCTTTGGGTATGAGCTATTTTGCAGTAACTACCTGTGTATACTCCCCTCAATTAAACTAATATAAGCTACCTCATATTTACATTCATAGTATGCATGCAAGACTTTACAGGCATGAGTACATCTATGGGCAATTTCTAGAGAGTAGCTGACCTAGAGCAAGTTCACACCCTATCTTGCCTGGCTGTAACTTGTGTTCCCATGCCCCTAGCCAAAATAGACAAGTGTACAAGGAAGCATTATAATATTGTTATTGTTTGTTTTTACTTATATACCAACATCAAGTAGTTATACTCCAAACACAGGACTAAGATCGGAAGGGTGGATCTTTAGAAGGGAACAAGATCATGAATGTGGGGCAGGAAATCAAAAATTCTAGTTTCTTTTTCTGGCTTTTCTGATAATTTATACTATGAGGCTGGTAAGCCATGTCCTTGTGCCTCAGCTTTTTCATTGAAAAAGCCACTAAAATAGGAGGTTAAGTGAAACATTTTTAATTTAACTGTGAAGTACTTGGGCATTCGAAAAGGATAGGTCCTGCACAATTCCAGGGAATAAATTATCCAAACTGATATAATCAATTCCTGTTCCAAAGTGGAAAAGTAATAAAAACTTGTCATTTTTCTCAGAGATTTAATATAGCTACAATTCTTAAAAAAAACATTGTCAAAAGTAATTTATTTAATATTGAGGTCTACAGTGGGTTACCAGAAAGGAATAATGTAGGGCTGATTTCAGCATATCTATCCTTACTGCTTTCCTTTCCAAGTTACTCAAATACTTAAATACTTATATCTCTCCCAATAAACAATGAACAAATGAGTAAATTATCTACAACTAATGGGCAATGATGGAGCCAACTAATGGCAGCACTTTTCCCAGCAAATTTCCTCACTGCTGTCTTTATTTCTTACCACTTTTATTGCGTTCTAATTGAAGCCACTGATGGCTAATTGCTTCATTTATCATCAAGTTTACAGGCCACACACTGCAAAACTAATTAGAGACAAGGCATTGTGCTTTAGTCTCCTTTTGAAATATTGCTCGCATTTACATTTAATTTCAATTCATTATGTTTCAAAGAAGCTGAAAGCGTGGGAGTGAAAGGATTATTTTTAAAAGTAGCATGAAGATTACGCATGTCCAGATCGCACTATGATGCACCGTTATTATTAGGCTTTGAAAACAGGACAGAGAAGAATTAGCTGTTTCCCTTAGCTGGTTCCCTTAGCTCTGAGCACAAACACAAACCCACATAAAGAATCTAATATAAATAGGAGCCACAGAACTCTGCTCAATCCACATAATTCTCAGCCATACTGATTTTCACAGGGAAGTGGTGAATTTTGCACCTGAGGTGAGAAATACTGCCCTAAGGATTTAAATCTGACAAGTGCCAAGGTCTTGTGAAGGTTCTTCTGTTAGGCATGGAAAGACAGAAAGGCAGACTTCTAAGTTCATTGCTTATTGGTTCTACAATAAATCACCTGAAGCCTGCAGACATTTGGCAGGCCTGCAAAGAAATTACTGTTGTTTTAACTGTTTTTAATTGAAGCTTGATAGATTTTCAACTTTTAAGGTACTTTGATAAATAGATCTGATTTAGAGGTAAATCCTGCTTTTGTCTTATTCACACAAATTTCCCTCATTCACTTCCCTGGGGCTATTCCTGTGATGAAGGCAAACAGAATTTGGCTCTAAGTAGCAATAAAGCTCATTCTGTACACTTCTTGCTATTTGATTTTGTCCTGTCATAGCCATTCTTCTTCCTGTCCCTTTTTAGTTCCTTTTCATCCTGACAGGCTGCTTCTCCCTACATAAACTTACAGCACAGAAGCAAAATGCATTTGTTACCTGGAAACCATGCAATTCAACATAAGGATTTGCCATCTTAATAGAGATGCAGACCTCCAAGGATGTTTTCTGTATTTTAATATCAATAATTTTAGCTGATCAGAAGTACCAACCTAATAAAGTATTCCACCACCTACAGATTGCTTTTCAAGATGTTTGATGAGTTGTTCATTATAATCTCTGAGGCATAGGGGGGTCACGAGGAGGAGGACAAGGTTTTTTTGAGTGGAGTTTTTGTCTTCCCCTCAGTTTTTCTGAAGAAGCAGTGACTGACTCAGCAGAACTTCAGAAATGAACAGGAATTCAGGAATTGTTATTCTGTATGCTATGGAAGCATCTGTTTATCTCCTGCATAGCTCCCACATTTCAGAGTGATTATTCATAGTAAGATGAAAGAAAGCATCTCTGTAAAATAAATTTTCAATCTACTCAGCTCTGTTTTATCACACAATATGCCTTTCATATTTTAGTACTGCCTAGCATCCTGCTGTTGATGTTGCAAATACATTCACACTTTTTCTCAAAATGAAGCAGGGAAGCAGTCACTGCACTGGTTTCCTCTAAAAATAATCATCTTCGATGGTGGCCTTCCCATATGGGAAAAGGCACACTCTTTGGGTAAGGCTGTTTGGGAGGTGTGACAAGAAACAGACAAAAATATACTCCCAATGTAATCTATACTGTGTTTGTATACACATGTAAATGACCCCAGGATCAGGTATGCATAGACATGCAGCTAACCCAGGGTAGCTGCACACACTAGGCACTGGCAGCTGTTTTTTGTGTCTCACTGCTGGACAGTGGAGGAACAGGTAATAGCCTCAGGCAGGAGGTTGAACTAAATGATTTCTGGCTCTAGGTCTCTCCCAGCCCTTCTTCTCTATGATTTGTAAGCAGTTAGCCCTGAGATAGGCATAAACAAACAACATTTATGCCGGAAGAGTTTATATCCAGTTCTTTTTAGGGGAAATTCTCTAAAGAACTGGGTGAAGTTACCCCTAGTTAGTGGTTTGGATTATATCTGCCTGCTTCATTTTACACTGGTGTAATGCCAAGTCCACCAGCATAAACATTTTGTCTGTACAGGGACTCAGCTATCCAGCAGCACAACAGGGCCTGCCTGGCCCCGTTGGAAGCCCCAGCAGCGGCTTCTGGCCTGGGACCATGTGGCTGACCCGGTGTGGGAACCTCAGGTAAGGTGGGGGGGAAGGCCAGGGAAGGAGCCCAGGGAAAAGCATCCTCTCCCCCACCCCTTGACCAGCACTCCCTGCTGCAGCCACTCGCAACCCACACAGGGCTGTCCTGAGCAGGCACAAGCAACCCCTGGCAGGCTGCAAGCGGCTGCAGTGCAGGGCGACAGCCCCGGGGCAGGAGAGGAGCCGTTTTTCCCCATGCTCCACACCAGCAGCAGCTGTGCCCCCCCTCCGCTTGCCGCACCAGGCAGTGTTTGCTGCTGCTGCCCACCCAGAGCTTACATGCTGGGCAGCCCAGAGGTAGCAGTGGCAAACACTTCCCAGCACGGCAAGCACTGGGCCACAGCTGCTGCCGCCATGTGCAGCCCTGATGGACAAGCCCAGAGCCAGCGCGGGGCCCAGGCTGGCAGTGGGGGCAGGTTACAAGCTGGTGCTG